CGTACCCTCTCTGAGGGAGCCAAAATTTCGCCCCCTATCGTCAGCGATGGAGTCAGCTGACTATGCCGAGGCGCCGGCAGCCACAGCCACTCGGTCTTGGAAGGGTTGAGCCTGAGTCTGTTCCTCCCCATCCAGACCCTTACGGCCTCCAGGCAACGGGCCATCACGTCAAGGGCATCGTTGGGGTGGCCTGGGGTGGTCCTCCTGCTGAACCTTAGAATGGAGATAGTTTGGAAGAAGATGAGGTCCACTTCTCAGCCCTCGTTACAGTAGCAAGTGAGCGGAGACTGGCCATTTCTGTGCCATTTGTTCCTTTGCTTCTTTCTAGAGTGGTGCCAAATCACATACTTTAAGAAACTTTCTTCTTTGTCATGTGTTTTTCATGTGGGATCAGCAACTCAGCCTAGCTAGCTCCATGTGCTATTCATGATAGTTTTTGGAGGAAGCAAATAGAATGGTCCTTCTGGGACTCGGGAGTCACCATCTGGTTTAGGAAGGTCACTATTCTACATGGACTCTATTGGAGTTGGGCAGCTATAACAAATTTGGATGGATGGATGGAAATGGTCAACTGCTCCCCTGACAGTGAAGAATTGCAGCCCAGCAATTTTGTGGATCACTTAGATCAGGGGTAATCAACCTTGGCTCTTTTATGACTCGTGGACTTCAATTCCCAGAATTCCTGAGCCAGCTAAGCTGGCTCAGGAATTCTGGGAATTGAAGTCCACGAGTCATAAAAGAGCCAAGGTTGACTACCCCTGATGTCTTAGATGGACGGGATAAGATGGAAAAGGCCCAATGAAAAAACAGCCCAGTGTGTACTAGAGGTGATACCCATTTTGTCAAAAGAAGCTCCAAATTTAGCAGGATATGGATCAATTAAAAATTGGAGTTGGTTCTTCAGCATTTTAGCTCTGACATCGGATGCAGGGCACTGAGAACACTAACAGAATGACCGGAGAATTCTGCTAATCTGTGACAAAGAGGGACAATTACTTCTTTAAAGTTTACTCAGTCAACCAAGCAGAAAAATGAAGGGATGCTGCCAGTGAGGAACTCACAAATGGTTTATTCAAGTCTTGTTGCACAGTTCTTTCCCTCAACATTGATCTTTCCCAGCCCCCCAAGATGTGAGACAAAAAAATCTTCAAGTCAATAGATGATCTGATTTTATTTGCCCTGTGCTGATAGAGACCGGCTCCTTCAGAAGGGCAAGACAGGCTCTTGGAGAACATTCAGGGTGGGACAATCAATAGTCCATCATTTGGGACAGAGGTCTTATTTAGGATTAGGATCATCAATACCAAATCCATCTCAGCAAATGCTGGGCATGTTGAAATTCTCAAAGTTAGCTCACTGTCCCCGCTGTTTAGTTTAAATATTCCTCCAGAAAATCTGTGAATTTATAGCCAAGTAACTCAGTCCCTTTCTTTGATGGATGCAAACCATCTCTTTTGTACATTTCTTCATTGGACCAGCTGCTGACATTGTGACTAATATATCCAAAGCCTTCCCCTTCCCCTCAGTCACAACAGTAACCTACTGGGGATGGAGTGGGGGAACAAAACATTTGCATGCTATTGGAATGTGAAATTGCAGTTGTGATGTGTTGAGAGCCAGCTCGGTGTAATGGTTATAGCACTGGCTAACAATTGGGAGACCGTGAGTTGTAGCCCCGCCTTGGGGACAGAGTCTGCTGGGTGAACTTCAGCCAGTCTCTCTCTCTCAGCCCTGGGAAGAAAGAGGCCCCTAGCAACATAGCTATGATCACTCCCTTCCCTGTAACTTTATGTGCCTAGGCCAGGGGTAGGCAACCTTGGCTCTTTTATGACTCGTGGACTTCAACTCCCAGAATTCCTGAGCCAGCCATGCTGAGGAGAAAGGGAGAGGTTTCCATGCTGAGCCATGCTGGCTCAGGAATTCTGGGAGTTGAAGTCCACGAGTCATAAAAGAGCCAAGGTTGCCTACCCCTGGCCTAGAAAACATAACCTCCAATAGCAATGTCTTAGGCCAGTGATGGCGAACCTTTTAGAGACCGAGTGCCCAAACTGCAACCCAAAACCCACTTATGCATCGTCGGGTGCCGGGTGGGTGTGGCTCATTAGGTGGGTGTGGCCAATTGGGTGGGTGTGGCTGCGGTAGCAACGGCAGACTGGGTGGGACTAAAAAGTTCAATCAATTCCAACTTTGCAAGATCTTTTTTTTTCCCCATGAGAAGTTGAAATTGACTGATCGATTGAACCTTTTTTTTTTGCACACGACGGCGGAGGCCTAAAGCGAAAAGGTTTTATAAAACCCAGCTGAAGGCCTAGGACTGGGGCGACGGCGCACGTGCCCACAGAGAAGGCTCTGAGTGCCATCTCTGGCACCCGTGCCATAGGTTCGCCACCACTGTCTTAGGCACATATGGAAGACCAGGAGCATCTATAGAGGAAGTCAGAAAAGTCAAGATGGCAACTGCAATGGCATAAATAATGCCTGTCCCTTTTTTAGGTGTGATGTGCACGCAATCATGTGATTACTGTTGTCATCTTGATTTGCTTTTAGCCTCCGGGCGGATGCCCCTGTGCAAGCACCTGTAAGCAGTTCCAATTTTTGGTTTTAAATGAGGTTAGCCTTTTCTCTTCTGAACATTCAAAAGCAGGGTGAAAACAGCCCGCAAAAGCTGCCCCGTTGTCCAAGAATGGAATTTAAATAATAATATAATAAAGTACGTGATCGGTACAAAAGTTCCAATAAAATATACATAGTCTAAAAGAATTAAATATAATTAAATAAAACAGTACAGTATGTAGTGTTTTGTCCAAAACCCAAACTATTAGGTTTTGTGGTGCAAATCCTGCTCAACTGGTCCACGTTGGCAGATACTGCTGCAAAAGCAATATTCGGGGACCCCGGTTGAGGCTAAAGAAGGCCTCAGTGTGAAGTTACAGCTAAAGTTTTAGCTGGGCTTGAGATTCCAAGACTTCTGTGGGTCTTTCAGTTTTTATTTCTTCCATGTTTCTTTGGTTCTCCTTTGGAAACGTTGCTCCAAATATGTCCTCCTTGTAGCGTTTCTGCCTCTGTAAAAACAAAACAAGAAAAGTTAAGAATAGGTGGAATTGTTTTAGTACAATTCCTCTTGAATTTGAAATGCCAGTTGCGCCCCTTTCTGGATCGGAACGCCCTACACACGGTCACTCAAGCCCTCGTTGTTTTCTGCCTGGACTATTGCAATGCTCTCTACATGGGGCTCCCCTTGAGGTGCACCTGGAGGCTCCAGCTAGTTCAGAATGCGGCTGTGCCGGGGATTTGGGGGGCCTCTAGATGGTCCCATGTAACACCTCTCCTGCGCGAGCTGCACTGGCTGCCAGTGGCCTTCCGGGTGCGCTTCAAGGTGTTAGTAACAACTTTTAAAGCGCTCCATGGCAATGGACCTAGGTACTTGCAAGACCGCCTCCTACCAAATATCTCCCTTCGACCAGTCCGCTCCCACAGAGAGGGCCTCCTTAGGGTACCGTTGGCCAGCCAATGCCGGCTGGTGACCCCCAGGGGGAGAGCCTTCTCTGTGGCAGCTCCTGCCCTCTGGATTGACCTGCCCCCCGACCTACGTACAATTGCGGACCTGCGCCTCTTCTGCCGAGCCCTGAAAACTCATCTGTTCCATGCGGCCGGCCTGGCGTAGTTTTGATTGGGTTTTGTTAGGGGTTCTATATTTTAGAGCAGGCTTTTATGTAATATTTACTGTGATTTTTATTATTACCTGTTCACCGCCCTGAGTCCCGTAAGGGAGATAGGGCGGTATATAAATTTTAATAATAATAATAATAATAATAATAATAATAATAATAATAATAATAATAATAATAATAATAATAATAATAATAATAATAATAATAATAATAAATAGAGGCATGGATGGAAGGACTCCGTTAAAACACAAATTGTTCAGACCGGCAGCATTCACAGAGAGGGTCAAAATCTGGCTGGTAGTGGGTGCAATGCCATGATCCAAACCATGTCCCTTTATTACATGCATGTAAAAAGGGGTAATGCTTCATCTTGCAGATTTTGATCATTCGCTGTGGATACCCCTTCAATGCAAACTCAGTTGTTAAATTGGGAAAAAATATTCTATAAATACGTTATTCAATTTATTCAATAAATAAATGGAGATACCTAGGATTGGTATCTCAATAAGTCCTCATCACCAGCTCCAAGGTTATCTTAGCCAGCTTGGTTACAGAGTGAGACCTACACTGGCAGAATCCATCATCACTTCTGAATTAGTTAAAAGCCTTATGGGATCCCTCATGCTCATTCTGAGGTCTGGGTCCAAGATTTCTGCGCTTTCTCTGCATTTGGGCAGCACTGACAAAGTCACCATCAATCAATTGCAAAAGGTAGCATTAGCTGGAACAGCTTACATCCTGCAATGATTTTGTTAACACTATCAAGCAGCAACATCTGCCTATCCCAGGTCCTTGGAAGGATTTTATATAGGAGATAAAAATGCCAGATCCAGTCTAAACGTCTGCCTGGCTATGCAGCAAACCATAATAATGCCAATCATCAAACTGAACACCACAAACACATGTAGATACATGCAGAACCCATATACCTCTTTTTAAACATTTCCATCCTGATATTCTTAATCCAAGGTAGTTCAGGCTATTATAAGTCTGATAAAAATTGAAATCAGTGCTACAAAGTTGAATGAAAAAGAGCTGAAAAACG